TCAAGATATTGTTTCTCCAGCTTTGTAATTCCTCCAATTGTATGCATGTAATGTGTGCTATTCGCGTTGGATGAGACCAAATGTGTCGAGACATTCGAGAACAGGACATGAAATGGGTTACGAATGACAGTCATGTGAGCCTGGTCGAAACTCCTCTTCTGGTACATGGTATATTTTCTTTGGCGTGGCAATATGGATGTGTTTGAAAAAGAAAACAGAGCGGCGGATGATTGGGAGACGAGTGAGGGTACGTTCGTGGGGAAAAATGCTGGTTGTTTGTATTGTTTGTCTGATGAAGGAAGGGCAGAAAAGTCGAGATATAAAGACAGTCGAGTGAAGGAGGTGGAGAGTGTGGATGGAAAGTGAGAGTGGTGAAAAGAGGGGCAAAAGTGTAGTCCACGACGGTAGAACCGCAATCTCCCGCTTCGTAGGCGGATGCCCTATCCAATTGGCCAATGTAGACGCTATAATGATACACCCACACAACACTATACCATACCTGAGACACAACAACACATACCACCAAGCATATTCCACTCCCCACGACAATAACGATACCACATTCACACCAAGTCACATCAACTACACCATACATATACACAGTCAACACACTACACCCTCATACCTTATACTCACCGACATACATACAACACACCAGCTACTTCCTACTACCGACCTCGTGGCAGTCGTCACACACATCAATGATGGCCGTGGGTCGTGCTTGGAAATTGATGAGATACTGAATCTGGATGGTCTCAATGGACAATGCGTTTTACTGAGTCAAATCAGGTACATCTTCCCATACAAATGGTGTCAATGTTGTGGCTTTATCCGCTGCATTTCTCACACGAACAGCTCACTCCAGTTCGTCTACATTGATGGATTCAAGCATCGTAATCGCAGCTTCTCTGTGTCGAAAGTTGGGACGCTTTTCATGGAAAAAGTGTCCCAATATGATATTCTACTCTCCTTCGTTGTCAAAGTATGGTCACTACATAATGACCAGTTTGACTCACGATGATAAGAGCGCCATCATTCTTGCACAGCCGAGGCCACATATATATGAGCAAGTTGTTGTATTCCAAGTGCGTGTACATGTGTGGAAGAGCGATATTTAATCGTCTTCCATTCCACACCATCGACAAAAGTATGATGGATCAACTCTCGCGCAACGTATTGGATTCAAAGATATTGTTTCTCCAGCTTTGTAATTCCTCCAATTGTATGCATGTAATGTGTGCTATTCGCGTTGGATGAGACCAAATGTGTCGAGCACATTCGAGAACAGGACATGAAATGGGTTACGAATGACAGTCATGCGAAGCTGGTCGAAACTCCTCTTCTGGTACATGGTATATTTTCTTTTGGCGTGGCAATATGGAATTAGTGTTTTGAAAAAAAAACAGAGCGACGGATGATTGGGGAGACGAGTGGGTACGTTTTTCGTGGGAGAAAAATGCTGGTTGTTTGTATTGTTTCTGTTGATGAATGAAGGGATAGAAAAGTCGATATATAAAGACAGTCGAGTGAAGGAGGTGGGAGAGAGCGATGGAAAGTGAGAGTGGTGAAAGAGGGGCAAAAGTGTAGTCCACGACGGAACTTAAACCTGCAATCTCCCGCTTCGTAGGCGGATGCCCTATCCAATTGGGCCACGTAGACGCTATACTATACACCCACACAACACGATACCATACAACCGAGACACAACAACACATACCACCAAGCATATTCCACTCCCCATGACAACAACGATACCACATTCACACCAAGTTACATCAACTACACCATATATACACAGTCAACACACTACACCTCATACCTTATACTCACCGACATATATACAACACACCAGCTACTTCCTACTACTGACCTCGTGGTAGTCGTCACACACATCAATGGATGGCCGTGGGTCGTGCTTGGAAATCGATGAGATCTAATCCTGGATGGCTTGACTGCAACAATGCGTTTTACTCGAGTCAAATCAGGTACATCTTCCCATACAAATGGCGTCAATGTTGTGGCTTTATCCGCTGCATTTCTCACACGAACAGCTCACTCCAGTTCGTCTACATTGATGGATTCAAGCATCGTAATCGCAGCTTTCTCTGTGTCGAAAGTTGGGACGCTTTTCATGGCAAACAAAAAGTGTCCCAATATGATATTCTACTCTCCTTTTCGTCCAAAGTATGGTCACTACATAATGACCAGTTTGACTCACGATTATAAGAGCGCCATCATTCTTGCACAGCCGAGGCCACATATATATGAGCAAGTTGTTGTATTCCAAGTGCGTGGACATGTTGGAAGAGCGTATTTATCGTCTTCCATTTCACACCATCGACAAAAGTATGATGGATCGAGTCTCGCGCAACGTATTGGATTCAAGATATTGTTTCTCCAGCTTTGTAATTCCTCCAATCGGTATGCATGTAATGTGTGCTATTCGCGTTGGATGAGACCAAACGTGTCCGAGACATTGAGAACAGGACATGAAATGGGTTACGAATGACAGTCATGTGAGCCTGGTCGAAACTCCTCTTCTGGTACATGGTATATTTTCTTTGGCGTGGCAATATGGAATGAGTGTTTTGAAAAAGAAAACAGAGCGACGGATGATTGGGGAGACGAGTGGGTACGTTTTTCGTGGAGAAAAATGCTGGTTGTTTGTATTGTTTGTCTGATGACGAAGGGATAGAAAAGTCGAGATATAAAGACAGTCGAGTGAGGAGGTGGAGAGTGTGGATGGAAAGTGAGAGTGGTGAAAGAGGGGCAAAAGTGTAGTCCACGACGGGACTCGAACCCGCAATCTCCCGCTTCGGTAGGCGGATGCCCTATCCAATTGGGCCACGTAGACGCTATACTATATACACCCACACAACACGATACCATACAACCGAGACACAACAACACATACCACCAAGCATATTCCACTCCCAAGACAACAACGATACCACATTCACACCAGTTACATCAACTACACCATATATACACAGTCAACACACTACACCATCAATGGATGGCCGTGGGTCGTGCTTGGAAATTGATGAGATCTAATCTGGATGGCTTGACTGCAACAATGCGTTTTACTGGAGTCAAATCAGGTACATCTTCCCATACAAATGGCGTCAATGTTGTGGCTTTATCCGCTGCATTTCTCACACGAACAGCTCACTCCAGTTCGTCTACATTGATGGATTCAAGCATCGTAATCGCAGCTTTCTCTGTGTCGAAAGTTGGGACGCTTTTCATGGCAAACAAAAAGTGTCCCAATATGATATTCTACTCTCCTTTTCGTCCAAAGTATGGTCACTACATAATGACCAGTTTGACTCACGATTATAAGAGCGCCATCATTCTTGCACAGCCGAGGCCACATATATATGAGCAAGTTGTTGTATTCCAAGTGCGTGGACATGTTGGAAGAGCGTATTTATCGTCTTCCATTTCACACCATCGACAAAAGTATGATGGATCGAGTCTCGCGCAACGTATTGGATTCAAGATATTGTTTCTCCAGCTTTGTAATTCCTCCAATTGTATGCATGTAATGTGTGCTATTCGCGTTGGATGAGACCAAATGTGTCGAGACATTCGAGAACAGGACATGAAATGGGTTACGAATGACAGTCATGTGAGCCTGGTCGAAACTCCTCTTCTGGTACATGGTATATTTTCTTTGGCGTGGCAATATGGAATGAGTGTTTTGAAAAAGAAAACAGAGCGACGGATGATTGGGGAGACGAGTGGGTACGTTTTTCGTGGAGAAAAATGCTGGTTGTTTGTATTGTTTGTCTGATGACGAAGGGATAGAAAAGTCGAGATATAAAGACAGTCGAGTGAAGGAGGTGGAGAGTGTGGATGGAAAGTGAGAGTGGTGAAAGAGGGGCAAAAGTGTAGTCCACGACGGGACTCGAACCCGCAATCTCCCGCTTCGTAGGCGGATGCCCTATCCAATTGGGCCACGTAGACGCTATACTATACACCCACACAACACGATACCATACAACCGAGACACAACAACACATACCACCAAGCATATTCCACTCCCCACGACAACAACGATACCACATTCACACCAAGTTACATCAACTACACCATATATATACACAGTCAACACACTACACCCTCATACCTTATACTCACCGACATATATACAACACACCAGCTACTTCCTACTACTGACCTCGTGGCAGTCGTCACACACATCAATGGATGGCCGTGGGTCGTGCTTGGAAATTGATGAGATCTAATCTGGATGGCTTGACTGCAACAATGCGTTTTACTGGAGTCAAATCAGGTACATCTTCCCATACAAATGGCGTCAATGTTGTGGCTTTATCCGCTGCATTTCTCACACGAACAGCTCACTCCAGTTCGTCTACATTGATGGATTCAAGCATCGTAATCGCAGCTTTCTCTGTGTCGAAAGTTGGGACGCTTTTCATGGCAAACAAAAAGTGTCCCAATATGATATTCTACTCTCCTTTTCGTCCAAAGTATGGTCACTACATAATGACCAGTTTGACTCACGATTATAAGAGCGCCATCATTCTTGCACAGCCGAGGCCACATATATATGAGCAAGTTGTTGTATTCCAAGTGCGTGGACATGTTGGAAGAGCGTATTTATCGTCTTCCATTTCACACCATCGACAAAAGTATGATGGATCGAGTCTCGCGCAACGTATTGGATTCAAGATATTGTTTCTCCAGCTTTGTAATTCCTCCAATTGTATGCATGTAATGTGTGCTATTCGCGTTGGATGAGACCAAATGTGTCGAGACATTCGAGAACAGGACATGAAATGGGTTACGAATGACAGTCATGTGAGCCTGGTCGAAACTCCTCTTCTGGTACATGGTATATTTTCTTTGGCGTGGCAATATGGAATGAGTGTTTTGAAAAAGAAAACAGAGCGACGGATGATTGGGGAGACGAGTGGGTACGTTTTTCGTGGAGAAAAATGCTGGTTGTTTGTATTGTTTGTCTGATGACGAAGGGATAGAAAAGTCGAGATATAAAGACAGTCGAGTGAAGGAGGTGGAGAGTGTGGATGGAAAGTGAGAGTGGTGAAAGAGGGGCAAAAGTGTAGTCCACGACGGGACTCGAACCCGCAATCTCCCGCTTCGTAGGCGGATGCCCTATCCAATTGGGCCACGTAGACGCTATACTATACACCCACACAACACGATACCATACAACCGAGACACAACAACACATACCACCAAGCATATTCCACTCCCCACGACAACAACGATACCACATTCACACCAAGTTACATCAACTACACCATATATATACACAGTCAACACACTACACCCTCATACCTTATACTCACCGACATATATACAACACACCAGCTACTTCCTACTACTGACCTCGTGGCAGTCGTCACACACATCAATGGATGGCCGTGGGTCGTGCTTGGAAATTGATGAGATCTAATCTGGATGGCTTGACTGCAACAATGCGTTTTACTCGAGTCAAATCAGGTACATCTTCCCATACAAATGGCGTCAATGTTGTGGCTTTATCCGCTGCATTTCTCACACGAACAGCTCACTCCAGTTCGTCTACATTGATGGATTCAAGCATCGTAATCGCAGCTTTCTCTGTGTCGAAAGTTGGGACGCTTTTCATGGCAAACAAAAAGTGTCCCAATATGATATTCTACTCTCCTTTTCGTCCAAAGTATGGTCACTACATAATGACCAGTTTGACTCACGATTATAAGAGCGCCATCATTCTTGCACAGCCGAGGCCACATATATATGAGCAAGTTGTTGTATTCCAAGTGCGTGGACATGTTGGAAGAGCGTATTTATCGTCTTCCATTTCACACCATCGACAAAAGTATGATGGATCGAGTCTCGCGCAACGTATTGGATTCAAGATATTGTTTCTCCAGCTTTGTAATTCCTCCAATTGTATGCATGTAATGTGTGCTATTCGCGTTGGATGAGACCAAATGTGTCGAGACATTCGAGAACAGGACATGAAATGGGTTACGAATGACAGTCATGTGAGCCTGGTCGAAACTCCTCTTCTGGTACATGGTATATTTTCTTTGGCGTGGCAATATGGAATGAGTGTTTTGAAAAAGAAAACAGAGCGACGGATGATTGGGGAGACGAGTGGGTACGTTTTTCGTGGAGAAAAATGCTGGTTGTTTGTATTGTTTGTCTGATGACGAAGGGATAGAAAAGTCGAGATATAAAGACAGTCGAGTGAAGGAGGTGGAGAGTGTGGATGGAAAGTGAGAGTGGTGAAAGAGGGGCAAAAGTGTAGTCCACGACGGGACTCGAACCCGCAATCTCCCGCTTCGTAGGCGGATGCCCTATCCAATTGGGCCACGTAGACGCTATACTATACACCCACACAACACGATACCATACAACCGAGACACAACAACACATACCACCAAGCATATCCACTCCCCACGACAACAACGATACCACATTCACACCAAGTTACATCAACTACACCATATATATACACAGTCAACACACTACACCCTCATACCTTATACTCACCGACATATATACAACACACCAGCTACTTCCTACTACTGACCTCGTGGCAGTCGTCACACACATCAATGGATGGCCGTGGGTCGTGCTTGGAAATTGATGAGATCTAATCTGGATGGCTTGACTGCAACAATGCGTTTTACTGGAGTCAAATCAGGTACATCTTCCCATACAAATGGCGTCAATGTTGTGGCTTTATCCGCTGCATTTCTCACACGAACAGCTCACTCCAGTTCGTCTACATTGATGGATTCAAGCATCGTAATCGCAGCTTTCTCTGTGTCGAAAGTTGGGACGCTTTTCATGGCAAACAAAAAGTGTCCCAATATGATATTCTACTCTCCTTTTCGTCCAAAGTATGGTCACTACATAATGACCAGTTTGACTCACGATTATAAGAGCGCCATCATTCTTGCACAGCCGAGGCCACATATATATGAGCAAGTTGTTGTATTCCAAGTGCGTGGACATGTTGGAAGAGCGTATTTATCGTCTTCCATTTCACACCATCGACAAAAGTATGATGGATCGAGTCTCGCGCAACGTATTGGATTCAAGATATTGTTTCTCCAGCTTTGTAATTCCTCCAATTGTATGCATGTAATGTGTGCTATTCGCGTTGGATGAGACCAAATGTGTCGAGACATTCGAGAACAGGACATGAAATGGGTTACGAATGACAGTCATGTGAGCCTGGTCGAAACTCCTCTTCTGGTACATGGTATATTTTCTTTGGCGTGGCAATATGGAATGAGTGTTTTGAAAAAGAAAACAGAGCGACGGATGATTGGGGAGACGAGTGGGTACGTTTTTCGTGGAGAAAAATGCTGGTTGTTTGTATTGTTTGTCTGATGACGAAGGGATAGAAAAGTCGAGATATAAAGACAGTCGAGTGAAGGAGGTGGAGAGTGTGGATGGAAAGTGAGAGTGGTGAAAGAGGGGCAAAAGTGTAGTCCACGACGGGACTCGAACCCGCAATCTCCCGCTTCGTAGGCGGATGCCCTATCCAATTGGGCCACGTAGACGCTATACTATACACCCACACAACACGATACCATACAACCGAGACACAACAACACATACCACCAAGCATATTCCACTCCCCACGACAACAACGATACCACATTCACACCAAGTTACATCAACTACACCATATATATACACAGTCAACACACTACACCCTCATACCTTATACTCACCGACATATATACAACACACCAGCTACTTCCTACTACTGACCTCGTGGCAGTCGTCACACACATCAATGGATGGCCGTGGGTCGTGCTTGGAAATTGATGAGATCTAATCTGGATGGCTTGACTG